TCCTCCTCCTCCTCCTCCTCTTCTTCTTCTTCTTCTTCTTCTTCTTTTTAAAATCTGGATCTTCCTCAAAACTCGAAAAGGACTATTTTTGAACTCTGAAAAACAACACTGAGTTCAGCTTCCTCTTTCTGCCTTGGCAAGGCTCATTCCATTTGTAACTTCACACAGGATGCAGTGGGATCACAGCACACATCCCTGGCTCCTCCAGCTGTGAGAGCTTGGGAGGCAACTGGCCAAGGGCTGCAAGGTGTTTTCCTGTACCCTAGGTGCAGGTGCAGAAACCCACTCTGGTCCAAGACTTGGGTACAGAACTTTTCCTAGATAAGCCACATCCCCTGACAGTCTTAGAATGAGAGGAGGACAGGTGTCTAAGGACATGGAAGCCACCAGAGACGAAGGGACAGTTTAACTAGGGCTTGCCCATTTCCCTTGGGGTAGGTGTTCCAACCAAAGATGTGTCTCTCCACCTTACTCCCTTCCTTAATCCCACCCCATTGAAAGGGTACCTAAAAGCCAGCTACAACCATGACCCCGAGTAGGTATGGGAGACATTGATAATTCCCAGTGGTTTCTGAGCTACCCTTCGTATTGCCAGAGTCCTGTGAGCTACCTTTGTATTGCCAGAGTCCTGTGAGCTCTACTTAGCACACTGTGGGGACATGTCTGGTGTAACTGGTGCTTTGAGACCCAGTGAAGAGTTGGTCATGGAAACGTCCTGCTAGGAGCATGCAGACTCCTCATCTTCCTTTCCCAGCTTTCCTTCTCTGATGAATCATCCACACTTGAGGGTCCAGCCACCCATTCCCGGGCTGAGTTGCCACTCTGGTGGGCCTGCTACACTCAGAGCCTCTGGCCATTCAGGGTAACTCTCAGCTGCCTGATTCTGCTTTCTGTCACCTAAGGCCACCAAGCCTGGCATCATGTGGACCTTCAATTCTGACCCGGGACTAGGAACAGCTGGTCTCTTGGTGTGAAATGAGGACAATAGACAATAGGACTGTCACGGTCAATAAATACAAAGCTGTAGTGAAAGCAACTTACACAGCACCTGGAATGCGGGTGGTGCTCAGCAAATGTCCCTCCTATCTCTTCTTCCCTAGAGACACTGCACCTTATAATGGCTAATGCCAAACAACAGGCACCTACAGACTGCCAGTTAACACCAGCGTGCACTCACAGCCTGCTGTTTCTTCCCGGACATCAAGAGGGGCATGGAATCTTCGGTAGATTGTAACAGTCGGCCAACAACAACAAAGAGAAATAGCTTCAAGAGCAGGCCTGGGTCCTCAGTGCAGGGCTGCTGTTCTGCTGTGGCTCGGGCAGCGGCAGGAGCCTGTTCTGACAGTGGTCATTTAACAATCCCTGAATGTCCTAATGAAGGCAGTGATGTCATGCAAGGGCTCGGAGGAGCAGACCCTGGGTAAAAACAGCTCTCAATAAGTCAATGTAGAGAGACAGGACAAGGTGTCTACTCTCCCTGCTGTATGGATTAATTGGAAGTCAAGAGGACTTTGGGGGCTGAAATATATGGGCACGCTGAAGATTCTGACCTGACTTCTGTGGTGTCTGGTTAAACCGCTGCACCCCGAGGAACAAACTTGGCTCCTGAGCTGCGTGTCTGCTTTAGGAACGGCTTGCCTCCCATTCTCTCATTCTCTCATTCTGTAATGCCTCTGCTGTGACCTTTGTCATTCAGTTTCTCTCTCTTGAGGAAAGGGCTGTCTGGACTCAGAGGCTATACACACACTCTCCCTGATCCTAGGTCCCTGCAACCTGGCTTTCGCTGCCACCAGGTCACCACTAGTCCACAGCTGAAAGCTCTGCTCCCCAGCCATGCCAACAGAGGGGCGCCATCTCCAATTTCCTACCCATGAATGCCACCAAGAGTCATGCATAGCATCCTGTGGGACTGGCACAGACTGGATGAGGCAGAGACAGCTGCTGCTCCATCTGGCCTTGGCCTCAGCACCTCTGTCTCTGGCAGCCTGGAGCCCAATCCTGCTTCCTTGGCTCTCTTACAGCCAGTCTGCGTGTCTTCACTCAGCCTTGCTTCTTAGCCTATCTGCGGCTGACTGACAGGTCTTATGCTAGGCTTGCCTCATTTCCACCCTTCATCCCCCAAAGGCCAGGTCCCTAAGCCAAGGTCCCACCTGCTTGCTTGAAGCCATGCCAGAACAAGACCCTCCGCAGAACACTAGACCATCTGAGTGGTCCACAGGTACCTCAGATGCCACAGGCCCCAAACTGAATTCTGTACTTACTGCCCTCCTTCATTAAAGACACCAAAGCCAGGGGCTGGAGAGATGGCTCAGCGGTTAAGAGCACTGACTGCTCTTGCAGAGGACCCGGATTCAACTCCCAGCACCCACATGGTGGCTACAACCGTCCTTAACTCCAGTTCCAGGGGAATCTGAAGCCCTCTTCTGACCTCTGTGGCATTGCACAACATGGGTACATTCACAAACATTCAGGCAATACACTCATATACATTAAAAAAATTAAAAAGACACCAAAGCTGGCCTGACCAGTGGGGCTGACTTCCCAGCTTCACTCAGTCAACCCTATCTCTCCTGTGCCCACTGGCCTGTAGCATCTCCCCATACCTGCCACTCACTGAGCCAGAGGCATTGTGCACGGGTAGCATGTGGGGTGTTGGGTATAACCTGCACTGAACCTTGGGGCTGGGGGGATGGGACACAGAGGACATGATGCAGGGACTAAGAATAGATGGGGGTGGCAGAGGGCTTGCAACGTTAGACCACCCTCTGGAGTTTGTGAAGATCCTAAGAAAATACTCATGAGAGTGGAGAATATGGGAGAAACGTGGGATGTGAGGGCGACCCCCTTGGAGCCTGGTTTGAATGTCTTTGCTCCAAGGTCTTTGTGAGTCTCCCAAGCTGGGTAACTTAAACAAGGTTTGGTGGAAGTGGCTGTGACAGGGCCCATATTGGCCCCCTCTGCCTACATTCCCATGGCTCTGGGGAGGGGTCTCATGGCAACAGCAGGCTGTCCTGTAGCAGGGTGGGTTTGAATGGTTTTAGCTTTATTGTGCCCATTTTGGTTTTTCATCGTGGATTTTTATTTTAAGAAATTATTCTTCTTAGAACCAGAGATGATGCTCATGTTGAAATGAAACAAACAAGGAGCTCTGCACAGGTGGAGCCCTCAGGAAGACAGGAGGAAGAAGAAGGCCTCTTACCTGCGATGTCACAGAGTTCTGCGTCCGAGGCATTTGCCAAGGCCTCCTCCAGTTCTGGCTCTAGCGTCACACTCTCTAGCACAGGATCTACTGGCCTCTGCTTGGGAACCCAGATCTTCCCTGTAAACACAGAGGATGCCCATCAGGGCGTGTGACTATGGTGTGGCAGCCTCTGGCTATGGCCCTGGTGAGCAGGGCAAAGTCTTTGGACACCCATGTAGAGAGGGCCCCAAAGACATCTCCCTCTGGAGTCCACCTACCCCAGAGAATGGAAATCAAGGATCCCAACATAACACCTCTCAAACTTGAATGATTTTATAACTGGATTAAAGTTATTACTCTCTGAAGTATCAGCCGTGGCTTTAAACAGTCTCTAAGTAGAAAAATAAAATAAAATACACGGGAGAATAGAATGCCAGGATCTGAGAAAAACCTCACCAAGGGTTCTGATATGAGAGGAAAACTTGTAAGCCATCCTAAACAAAATAGATACAATACACTCAGATCATTAAAAGATCAAAGGGGGCAAAACGCATCCTAGCTTCATGCATCCTAGATTCATGGGACCACCTATTTTTCATGAGTGCTATGCTCAGCACCGGATTGGGGAGTAAAGTGGCAGTCATGAGGACCGCCACTACATATCCACCAGGAGAGACCGTTGAAGAAGTTTATACCAGGGAATTCCAGAAAAGGCTGGGGAGATGGCAGTTAAGAGTGCTTGCAGAGGAGCTGAATTCAGTGTCCAGCACCCATGTTGGGTGGCTCACAACCGCCTGTAACTCCAGCTTCAGGGGAGCCACCTCCTTCTTCTGGCTTTTACTCATACTCAATTATCCTCACACCCACACACATAATTAAAAATACATCTTTTTTTTAAAGGCATGGAGATTGCTGAGAAGGAAAATGCCCTAGGCAAATGTTATATGAAAAACCAAGTTTAAGAACTGGCATGAACAATTTCACTTCTACTTATGAAAAACTGCGTATGTGTTATGGTTTGTATGTGTCCCCCAGAGTCATGTACTGGAAACCTAATGCCCCAAATCATATGTTAAGAGTATGTGGAGACAGGGCCTTTGGGAGGTAATTAGGGTTAGTTGAAGTCATGAAGGTGGGCCTCTAGGATGACATTAGTAACTTTATAAGGAAGGGAAAAGATACCCGAGCTATCATGCTTGCTGTCTTGCTGTGTGAGCTTGCCATGTTGCCATGCAGCAAGGACACCTCCCCCATCCAGCTTTTAGACTTCCTGGCCTCCAGAACTAGGGGAAATAAATTTATTTTCTTCATAAATTATCTAGTCTATGGTATTCAATTCAAGTAGCATAAAGTAGACTAACTAAGCATGTGTATGCATGCATGAGTATGTTTTTGTAGTATGTATGTGTGCATACATGCATGTGCCTATATGTGTATTGTACAAATATGTGAATGGATATGCATGTGTGTGCATGCATGTATGTATGTGTGTATAGCAAAAGAAATTTATTGACTGCTTCTTTCTAAGTTTTTAAAATTTTATTGATTTGTTTATATTTTATGTGTATGAGTGTTTTGCCTGCATGTATGTAAGTGCACCTGTGCTGTGCAATGTCTGTGGAGGCCAGAAGAGGGTGTCAAATCTCCTGGAACTGGAGTTATAGACTGTTGTCATGTGGGTGCCAGGGTCTTCTGCAAGAGCAGCCAGTGCTCTTAACTGCTAGCCATCTCTCCAGTCCTTGACTGCTTGTTATATGCTGCTAGGTACCTTTCCAGCAGGAACATGAATGAACAGCTATGAAAATGACTTTGAGAGCTTACAGCCTAGTGAAAGAGACAGATGATAAGCAGTGTGGGAAGCACGAAGTGTTATGGAGGAAGATCAAGCCAGGCACGACGCTAGGAAGTGCCAGGGTATGCAGGGGGGTGATATGGGCACAACTGCTTTGGGAAGGGTGATTGGAGAAGTCACTGAGATGATGGCCTCTGGTCTGGGGACTTGCAGAAGAAATGAGCCCCAGATGAGGAACCAGCCAGCTTTACTGCTGCTAGTCAACACTGTCTTGGAAGTCCTAGTCAGAGCAAGGGAGCAAGAACAAGAACCGGGTGGAATTCAGTCTGAAAAAGGTGTTTCTGATTGCAGATAACACAATTGTGTATGGAGAAAACTCTAAACTTCCACATGCTTAAAAAAAAAACAACAAAAAAAAAAACCAACAAAAATCTAAGATGAAAAAAACTGTTAGAACTTAGCTAGGCATGGTGGTGCACGCCTTTAATCCCAGCACTTGGGAGACAGAGGCATGGGGCTCTCTGTGAGGTCAAGGCCAGCCTGGTCTACATAGTGAATTCCAGGTCAGCTGAGACTACAGGGAGACCTTGTCTCAAAAAGACCAAAAAAACCCAACACAACAACAGCAACAACAACAACAACAACAAAACAAAATTCTTAGAATTAATAAATTCAGTAATGTTTCAGGGTAGAAGATTAAAAAAAATCAGTGGTGTTTCTGTATATCAGCAGTAAGAATTTGCTAAGGAAATTAAGAAAGCAATTCACAACAGTAACCAAAGAATAACGTACTTGGGAATAAATTTAAAATACTTGCACAATGAAAACTACGAAGCATTGCTAAAATAAAATTGAAATAACTGGAAAAATGTTCTGACTTCATTGGGAAACTTGATGGCATTGAGATTACAATACTACCCAAAGCAATCTACACATCCAATAAAGTCCTCATCAAAATTCCAGAAGTCTTTTTTTTTTTTTTGCAGAAACAGAAAAGCTAATCTCAAATTTATATGGAAAAACAAAGGCACACAATAACAAAAACAATCCCGAAAAAGAGCAAATTAGAAGACTCATGCCAATTTCCACAACTACAATGCTCAGTGATGTGGTACTGGTACAAGGGTGGACACAATAAACAGGAGATTAGAAACGAGAGTCCAGAAACAAAAGCCAAACATACATGGCAAATTATTGTCAACAACATGCCATGACCATTCCATGGGAAAGAATTGTCTCTTCAACAACTGCCTGACAGCTAGATTTTCACATGCAGAACAGAGTTCAACCCCTTCCTCTCACCATATAAAAAAAATTAACCCCAAATGAATCAATGACCTAAATAAAATAACTAAAACTAAGACATTTTTAAGAAAACAAAGGTACAGGTCTTCATGATCTTAGAATTAGCACTGGAGTCTTGTTATGAACCCGAGTGACAAAAGAAAACAGATCAATTGGACTTCATCCAAACTTAAAAGTTTTATGTCTCAAAGGACATGATCAAGAAAGCACAAAGACCATATACAGAATGGGATAAAAATATTCATGAATTACATATCTGATATGTGTCTAGTATCAAAAATACAGAAATAGGGCCTGAGAGATGATGGCTCAGTGGGTAAAGGTCCTTGCTGCCAATTCTGATGGCCTGAGTTCAACTCCTAGAACCCACTTGGTAGAAGAGAATCAATTCCTACATGTGTACTGTGGTGCATGTACATACATACACAAATAACTGTAACAAATTCTTTATACATACAGAAGTAACTTTTTCAACTCAGCAACAAAAAGACAAAATACCTAACTTAAAAATGAGTAAAGAGGGCCTGGAGAGAAGGCTTAGCATTTAAGAGCACTTATTGTTCTTGCAGAGGATTTGAGTTGGTTCCCAGCATCCATGTGATGGCTAACAACTGTCTGTAACTCCAGTTCCAAGGGATTCAACACCTCTTCTGGCTTCTGAAGTCATTGCACAACACAGATGTATACTTGCATACAGGAAAAACACTCATATACACGAAGTTAAAAAATAAAATTTTTTAAAAATTTATTATTGCCGGGAGTGGTGGCACACACCTTTAATCCCAGCACTTGGGAGACAGAGGCAGATGGATCTTTGTGAGTTCGAGGCCAGCCTGGTCTACATAGTGAGTTCCAGGACAGCTGGAGCTACAGGGAGACCCTGTCTCAAAAAGACAAAAAAAAATTTATTTTTATTTTATGTGTATGAGTGTATTGCCTGCATGTAGGTAAGTGCACCCATGTTGTGCAATGCCTGAGGAAGACAGAAGAAAGAGGCCATCGGATCCCCTGGAACTGGAGTTACTGACAGTTGTCAGCTGCCATGTGGGTACTGGGATTTGAACCTGGGTCTTCTGTAAGAACAACCAGTGTTCTTAACCACTGAGCCATCTCTCCAACCCTCTAAATAATAAAATATTTTAAAATATTTTTTAATGGATAAAGAACTTGAATATATATTGCTTCAAAGAGGATGCACATATGGCTAACAAACCCAGAGACATTCAACATCACTGATCATCACTTTATAGCCATGAGGATGCTGGGGTCAGGGAATACGGCACGTGAACGTTGGCAAAGATGTGGAGAATTGGTCCTGTTTTGTATTGCTGATGGTACAGTTGTTATAGAAGTTTGGAGTTTCTCCAAAATTCAAGAGTTACGTCATGGTTCATCAGTTCTTTTCTCAGGTATATATATATACCTCCAAAGAATTGAAAATAGATATTTAAACAAGCCCTGGTAGTACAAATGCTTACCTGAGTTATTGAGGGGCTGAGGTAAGAGCTTGCAAGGTCAAGGCCTGCCTAGGCTACAGAGAGAGTTTAAGGCCATCCTGAATAACTTAGACCCTGTCACAATGAAAAACTGGGGGAAAAAAGAGGTGGGATGTGACTCAGTGATAGAGTATATGCAAGGCCCTAGAAAGACAAACAAACAAACAAACAAACAAACAAACACTTACCTAGCATACACAAGGCCCTAGAAATAAAAACAAACAAAAATTTCCAAGAGTTGTATGGAAATGTTTACTGCACTTGTACAGGAATATTCAGTCCCAGTAGACTAAAGATCATACGAACCAAAAAGATGAATGGCTAAACCAATTGTGGGGTATGCTTGAGTCTAGAAATATGCTCAGGGAAAGAAACCAGACACATAAAGCCACACATTGTATAATTTCCCTTTTAGTTGATACCAGAAAAAGCCAACTCATAGAAACAGATTGGTGGGTCCCAGTGACTGTGGGAAAAGAGAGTGGGGTGTTCTTGGGAAGTGGGGTGCCAAGTTTTATTTTGGAGTTGCAAAAATATTTTGGATCTAGAGAGTAGTGATTGAACACCACTGTGGTATACTAAATGCAAGTGAACTGTTCACTTCGAGATGGCTAATTTCATGTAATATGAATTTTACCTCAATTGTAAAAAATAAAAAGCCTTGCTCACTTTGTTGTTGACAGAGAACAGTCTGCGGGGGGGATGGGAGCAGGGAGATGGTTAAGAGGCTGTTGTAATGGTCGAGGCAAGAGATAAGGTGACTTGAACCAGAAGCACAAGTGATGGATGTGGGAAAAGAGGGGAGTACATGGAGAAAGGTCTAGAAAATCCTTTACTAACATGGTATCAGTGCTTATTCTCCATGGAAGAAATTACTCTGTTTTATTGTTTATAGCAAATATCACTCTGCAAGTACATCACATAAAAAATCACTTGGGGGAAAATGTATGATAAGCTCTATGATGATACAGATTCTAGGCCAAGGGCATATGAGGAAAATGAGATGCTTAAGGGTGGGGGCTGCAGCTCAGTAGTAGTGTATTAGACTAGAGTTCATGAGGTCCTAAGTTCAATCCCAGTACTTCAAAAATCCATCAGTCAGTCAATCAATAATAAAATTCCCAGAAGAAATCCAGTTGTAAACATGACTCGATGCCAGGCCTAAAATGAACATTCGATGACTGGTTTGCTAAACCTGGTACAGGTTTTTCCCTTGAGGATGGTGACCCATGACATATGAGGGAGCTGATCTTTCTTCTCCTCTTCCTAGCTAGAATGTGAGCAGAATGATGGGCACCTCAGCAGCTAGATGGATTGTGAGGATGGAGCCATTTCAGGGGTGACAGAATGAAGAGATAGGAAGGACCTTGATTCTCGATGCCAGGCAGTATGGCTGACCAACCTTTAATTAAAGTTCTGTTATTTTTATTTATCATTTTCCCAGAACATGCAGCCAAATCTAATTCTAATGAAAATACCCTATATGGAGTTCTAGTCTGATCCCTCTACTTGAACAGGAGTGCCTCTTATTCCAAACTTCTCAGGACGATTGCACAGGTGTATGGCTCTTAGCACATCTCACAGGGTCTTGGTGACTATGGTGCTATTTCTTCTTAGCCTAGGCTAGCCGTAGGCCCAGCATGGGAATAAATTTTCAGCAAAGGCTGCGCTGAATGGCCGTGGGTAGCAGTTATAGTTGGGGGTGACGCTCTGTCTTCTGTGGAGATCTCCATTTACTTAACCCATAAGAATTCCAATCGTCATCAATAAAATATTTGACGATATTGATGAATCTTTTTAATCTTTGTTGCCATATGGAAATAGACTGGGTTCTGGATACTCCGCGGTTCCCAAGGATCTGCTGCTGACTCCTTCACAGCCTCAGCTTCTTAAGCTTCCAAATGTGTAAGTGGAACTATGGGCCACAGAGAGCACCGCTCACTGCAAAGAGCTCTTGGATAAAAACATTGATTGAGCCCACATTCTTTGCTGGGTCTACTCAGCTCTTTCTAGTCATGTAAACCTCCTCTCCATCATCTCTGCTCTCTCTTGCCACTCCTGCCAGAAGCCTCAGACTAGCACTCCTACCTGAAGTTCAGTAGAACCTAGAAGAGCTCCGATCCCAGGGCCTGAAATGGATGGAAGTTCCCGCACAATATCTGCCTCTGTGTGCTTTCATGTTCTGTCATTTATTAAGCAGACACATAGCACCAGATGCTGTGCTGCCACAACAGGGAAGCAGAGGGGACAGCCACAGATCCAGACCCGGGTTCAGCATGTTTACAGTCTTGGGGGTGTGGACAGCGAATGGGATTGAAAAGGAATCGATGACATAATTGATTTAAATAAATGCTTTCATTCAACAGATATTCATGAGGCACCATCTACCTACAAGGTGTTAGTCAGGTGCTGGGGGTATGACAGGATACAGGACAATTCTTGCACTCTTGGAACCTGTGTTCCCAGGCAGTAGCCTACAGGAACTCATTCACGTGGCCCACAATTCCCTGTTCAGACTTATTGAAGGCCGGGCCCTGGGTGCTGAGGGTTCCAGGTGAGCAAATATGGGCCATGTCCTAAGCTTCCGAGACTGGCTAGTGACCGAGAAAGATGATAAAGTGAGAGATGCTGATAGAATATGAGACACACTCTGGCCCCTGAGATGGAAAGTATCCCAAAGGGAACCTGAAGGGGATGGTGCATCCTATTAGAATAGACAGGGACAGTGTTCCCAAAAGAGACATCATACAGATGGAACCAAATGGGCAGTCACAGCTAAGGCATCCACGTTTGTGGTGTGCCAGCTGTGGGTCTAGGAGCCTTACCTGTGTCTTGATCCTCATAAAAGCTTCAGGAGTCTGGGAATGCTATTCCCCTCACCTCCATTTTACAGAAGAGGAAGTGGAGGCAATTCTTTGGGCTCAGAGAACTGGTAAGTAGCGAGACCTGGGCTATAGGCTGTTTCCAACCTCTGCATCTTCCACCAGGGAGGGAGACACAGCCATGAGGACAGCATGGGGCTGGGTAGCAAGACAGTACTGAGTTTAGGAACATGTGCAACATTGCTGAGGTACAAAGAGCCTATAAAGTTTGAAGAACAGATCAGACTTCTGATCTACCCTAGACATTGTGCTTCTGCTCCATAGACAACAGGGCAGTGAGCAAGGGTGAGTAGGATGCAGGAGAAGGTTCTAGAAGGCAAGGGAAGGCCTTGAAGAGTAGATCATCTCAGAGAACCTCTCTGCTCCCCTGGAGACTTCTAAGATGGCTTGCCTTTGGCAGGAGCAGAGAGTCTTGGCAGAAGAGACCAAAGAAGTATGCTACCTCTGAGAAAGAGCGGAGCAGAAATGGAGGGAGCTGAGAGGCACCCCTTGGTCTTCATTTGCACAGAATGGGCTTTGTTTAGGCCGCATGTCCTGATGTCATTAGTAATAGTTTCCTCTTCCCTTCAAAAGTAGCTAGGTTTGAATGAAAAATAACCAGGATACCTTGGTAAAGGAGATTTAGGGAGAAGTTTTGCTGGTCTAGGCAAATCTCTTTCCTCAGACTGTCCCCAAATTGACTAAATCCACACCACAATGATGCTTTTGGAGCTGAGATTATTTCCTGCTCAAGTGCGAAGGATAACAAAGAGGACCAAGCACACTTGCCCCAACACAGGGCCGGACACTCAGGTGGCCCTCTACAGTGCCTGGGGAAGGACACATTCTGGAGAGCTGTGTTGTTTAGTACCTCGTTTCTCCCCTGTGTAGGGCACCAGGTCTTCTCGGTCCTTAAACTCCTTTGCTTGCTTTTCCAAGTGATCCAAGAGCTCCTCTCTTTTAAAGGGGCCTGTGGGCGCCTTGGTGGTCTGATCCTTCTGCCTCAGACCTGCAGGAAGCAGTGCATTCTATGATGGAGGTAGTCGGGTGGGAGAGAGAGAAGGAGAGAAAGAAAGAGAGAGAGAGAGAGGTCAGCAGCTATAGATGTAATTCTCTAGAAACATCACAGACCAGCAGGGACCTCTGAACTGGTGGATCCAGCCAAGTTCTTCCTTCTCTATCCAAGGAATCAGATAGCTGGAGAGGAGCAGGGAGTTGCCTCAGACCACACAGTGGACAAGGGACAGAGAGAGACTGGGGCTTGGGTCCCTGAATCCTCTGGTGTTCCTGCCTATGACATTTTTAGAGACATGGGGTCAGGGGTCAGGGCAGCCAACACAAGCTGAGCACAGAGGTTCTTGGAGCATCTGCTGAGTGCTAAGTAGGATCAATTGGTGTTCAGACACAAAATGATATTGACTACAGTGTGTATGTATTAAGTGGCAGGAGAGAGGAGCTGAAGGGGAGCTTGGTAGGGTCTTGGTTGCAAAGTCAGGCATAAAGAGGCCAAATCCTAACAAGCAGAAGAATGGCCTGGCAGAGCCATGAGGTGGGGAAAGCCTACTCAGCCCTCAGCCCCCAACCCCTAGGGCCCTAGTGGACCTTCTAGCCTCTGGTGGGTCTGTGCTCAAGAAAGCTGGTTGTTAAATATTTTGAACGTCGTCCCTGGAGATGGGTCTCCCAAGAAAGATCAATCAATTGCTGTGTTGCTTTCTTCAAACATGGGCAGGCTTCTACGTGTGGGCTCACTACCAAAGCAGATTCCTAATTAGGGTGGATTTCAATCACCCGAATGGCTTTCACTTTACATCAGCCCTCAGTACCTACAACAGTCAGACTGAGAGCTTCAAGGATACTTAGAGACCAGCTAGTGCACAACTCCTCCTTCAAGGGGAAACTGAGGCCCAGAGCAAGGAAAGACCTGCTCAAGGAGTTTTAGGGATAGATTGTGAACAAGCCCCAAGGCCTTTCTTCAGATCTGGGGAGAAACAAGCTTCATTTTGAATCCTCGTGCCTTGGAGGCAGGTGTACAACCTTTGCTGTGCCCCCACATTGACTAAATTGAAATCATTCCATCCCAAATCTAGGTACTCTCAAAGTGCTTCTCTGTCACTACTCACACAATCTGCATCTTTTTCTGAAGAGCCCTCCAGGGAGGATGATAGACACATGGAAATGGTGTGCCTACAAGGAGGGAGCTGAGGAGAGACCCCACTGGTCAGTGACCGTGGGATGTTTATGAAGTGTTTTCTTACTGTATGCCACCCGGTTGCTGTTTCAATAATAAGAGCAGGGTGCGCTCCACACTGGGTCACCAGGATCTACATTTGGAAGTTAGGGATGGGTGGGGCTAGGCTACAGCAAATGGATTTAGGTCAAAGGTCAGGCATCAGGAGAGACATTGGGAGCTGAGGCATTTTGTGAGTTGAGGACCAGCAGGTCTAACTCCAAACCTGGACTGATCTGGGGGTGAGAATGGGGATACAAATGACACCCCAAGAATCACAGCTTTCCTGAAGCAGTAGTTCTCAGATAACATTCACCATGACATGCAGGTCAGACACTTTGCAGGCAGGTACAGGTCACATGTCACTTCCTGCGGCTCCTTCTGTCTCATGGCAGGGACTTCCTGTGATGCAGTGGGGGAGGGCCTGCTGATGTCCATCTCTGGTTCTCCACAGCAGATAATCCACCTGATTTGTGACATGTTCACATGACACAGTCGAGCCCACAGCAGGCCTAAGCCCTGACTTGGAGCAATAATGCTGCAACTGCACGACATTGGCCAAGTCCCCAGACCCCATGGGCTGTGGCTTCTGTGACTGCAGAGCATGAATGGTGGTGGTGGCTGTCTTATACATTTTGGGGGAAAATTAAATTAAATAATGTTAAAGGGTGCTTGGCACTGACACCCTAATGATAACGCCACTGCAGTTGTTCGATCATCAAGTCAGATGTGTTCAAGCAGAAAGTCAGCTATTCAAGTATGTGGGTTGTGGGAAATATGTTATCCAAATATATTTTAGAATCCAAAAAACCCAAACACACAAATATGAAATGAGTTAAACCCCAGAACCCAGTGCCCAATGGTCCTTTCAAGGGGCACTGAAGGATTTTCATCTCCATAAAAGGTTTCATTGTTCTTTTGGGTTGTTGACTTTTATTATTATTATTTTAAATGCAGGGTCTTACTCTGTAGCCCAGGATAGCCTCCAACTTGCCACCCTCCTGCTTCAGCCTCCTCAGTACTTGGATTACAGGTGCGTGCCACTCCGCCAGGCTACCATAGAGGATTTTGATGGCAGTAAGGGGCTGGGGCTCTGTATTTTGATGGGAGGAATCCATGAGGTTGGAAAGCGTTCTCAAACTCCCATCACCTTTGAATCTTGCTGTTGAGGCCCCTAGTTTAGCTAAAGCACAGTTCTCAGCCTTGGCTTCACAGTGCCACACAGTCCACAGCTGGACATGTCTTGTGGCAGCTGTTTTAACATATTGTGGCCTCTCTGGTCTCTGTCACATAGATGTCGGTAGAGCCAGTCCTCCATTGCAACACCAGAAATGTCTCTAAACACTGTCAGTTGGCCCCTGGAGGGGCAACACCACCCCTGACTGAGAACTACTACATTGAAATAAAGGCATATAATAGGGGAAGAAAGATGTTTTTAATATGTCAAAATTAGTTGCATAGTAATATATATTAAAAGATAGCTTCAGTAAATTAAATATTTAATGAAAGGAGTCGAGTTTGGAAAACTAAAAATTTCAAAAGTATTTTCTAATGATTTTTTAGCTCATCAACTTTCTGAAGTAAATTGTGATTATATCAGCATCATTAGGAGTTACAGTTTATTTCCATTAAAGGATATATTTAACAAAATATCAAAGAATCTTCGAACCAAAGAGTTAATCTTTTTAAACTCTTGGTTATCACTTTGACTTGTTTTCAAAAACAGCATATGACCTCATACTGTATATAAATATTAACTCAAAGTGGATCAAAGATCTAAATGCAAGAGCAAAAACTATAAAATTCTTAGAAAAAAGCAAAGACATAAATCTTTGTGACTCTGGATTAGGCAATGGTTCCTTAGATATGGCACAAAAACAACGAGCAACAAGAGAAAAAAATGGATGAACTTCACCAAAATTAGAAACATTTGTGTTTCAAAGGACACTGGTGAAAAGATGAATTGGGAGAAATGCTTGTAAATCATGTATCTGATAAGGGTCCAATATCCAGAATGCATAAATATCTCAGGACACAATAATATAAGACAAACAATACAATTATAAAAATGGGCAAAAGATCTGAATAGATGCTTCTTCTAAGAACACATAAAATTCCCAACGAGGGGTCAGGGAGATGGCTCAGTTGGTTAAGTGCCTGCTGCACAGCATAAGGACCTGAGTTTGATCCTCAGCACCCGTGTGAAGCAATGTGTACCTATAATCTCAGTGCTGGGAAGATGGAGACAGAATTCCTGGAGCTGGCTGGTCATCCAGCCTAGCCTAATTGGTGAGCTCCAGATTCAATAAGAGACCCTGTCTCAATAAATAATAAATAAATAGATAAATAAATAAATAAAGTGGGGAGTTGGAGAGATGTGTCAGAAGTTAAGAGCGTGTATTGCTTTTGCAGAGGAACTGAGTTCAATTCATAGCACCCATGTCAGGCGGACTCACAACCACCTGTAACTCTAGCTTCAGGGGGGATCTGATGCCTCTGGTTTCTATGGCACTTGTACGCATGTGCATATACCTATATATAGACACACACATATTTTTTAAAAAATAAAGTTGATGTGCACATGGACTCATAAATAAGAAGACATGAAGCCAGGCAAGTAGTGGGGAATGGGTGGGGGTGCTGACAACACAGCAGACAGCAGGGATATCAGAGTATAAGGGCTCTAGTGGGGGGAGGGAGGCTATGGGAGGGTGCTATCTGGGAAGTGGGTGTATAGTCAAGTGAAATGGTTTGGGATGTTCTGTGTGATACACACACACACACACAAATCAACAAATTTTTTAAAAATGTATTATATTTGAGGAAGAACCATGGAAATTTACGCCATGCTAATTAGTAGAGGTGATAAACAATACCATTGAAATCTGCCCGATGACTTTATAGACATACACAAGTGCCACGGATCCAAGTGCAACCAATTATGACTAGTAATAATCAGATACATACAGATTAGAGATGCAAGCGCCAACATCTCAGTGTTAGTAGCAAACATGACCATTGAAATCTACGTGATAACTTTAAATCCATGCTCAGATGCCAAGGAGCTCAGAAAATAACCCACTGTGACTAGTAATAATCAGATACATACAGATTAGAGATGCAAGCGCCAGCATCTCAGTGTTAGTAGCAAAAACAATGAGTCTGTCTGCAGGGAAAAATATACTCTAAAATGAAATGGAGATCTTTTTTAAAGGTTAAAACCTCATTTAATTTTATGTCTTACAGGGTTTATACTGAGTACAATATTGTGTAACTGTAATAATTCAACTGTAAACCTAAAAATGTACAGCCAATTTTGTAAGAGATGCAGCCTAGCTCAGAAAATTGTTATTGAATGTGTCAGTGCTGATGTAATGAAATGCTTCTTCTTCTAAGCATGTTGTTATTAAATAAATAAATGAAAAATTTTAAATTATTTAAAAAATTCCTGAGAAGTTGGGTGTGGTGGCATATGCCTTTAACATTAGGTGAGACAAAAGGTTAGTTTGAGGCCATGCTGGACTACACAGTGAGACTGTCTCAAAAGAAAAGCAAAGCCAAAAAACCCTCCCAAAGATGTCTAAGAAGCACATGGAAAGATACTCAACACCATTAGCCGCCAGGGAAATGCAAATCAAGCCCAAGGTGAGGCAAATCACAGCCACCAGATGGGCCCAATAAAGAGCTCAGATAATAACAAATGTTGGCAAGAATGTAGTGAAATTGGAACTTTGTTGCTAATAAGCATGTAATATGATATTGCCTCTTTGGAAAACAGTCTGTCAGTTTCTGAAAAAGTTA